GGACCGGAGTTCGTTAGGGGACGGGGGGGGGGGACTGACTTAGTGAGGCTGAGGCACAGGCAGGGGCCTTAAGAGTTTGGGAGGGGGGCCGAGGGATGCGTGTGAAGAGTACAAGGGCCCGAGACCTGCGTTTGCAGGACGGCCAGCGCGATTCCGTGGGCGTCCAGAGCGGGGTGGGATTTTAGGGGCATTAGGTACGTGCTGGGTGAGAAAGGAGCGTTGGGATGTTCAAAGCAGGGGCGTGCGTTTAGGCGGGACTTGGGAGTCCTGGGCTGTGGGCGGGCCGCGCCCAGCCACGCCCGCCGTACCTCCTCCAGGTAGACGTCCTCGTTCCAGTTGCCCATCCGGACTCGTGGACCGTATAGGTTCCGCGCCATCGTCCCCAGCGCTCCGGCGAACAGGCTTCCGCGGGCCAGTGCCTGTGTTAGCGTGCCCGTCGCCATGGCGACCCAGCCCCGTGCGATTGGCCAAGGTCCGGGACCCTGCTGGCCAATGAGTGACAACGCACGAGTCTCGCTGGGTACTGGAGCGGCCCCATTCCAGGGGCTGTCACCGCCCTCCACCCCCACACCTCGCCCAACTTCCACCCTAAGGGTTTTCTGGAATTTAATTGCAAAGAAGGCAAGAGAAAAACTCAAGCCTACAGACCTCATTGTCCTCAGTGCTCGCTATAGAGAAATTTTTAACTTTTTTCTTTTAAAATTTAAACGAAAATTGCTCTTGAGTATCCCTTGCTTCGGGGGACAGCGAAGAGGAGTTTTGAAATGGAAGCATGTGTTGCTTGCAGCCTATTTTTATAATCAGCAGCAGCAGCATTTTCAGCCTCATCGTAAGACAATACATGCTCCGTGTGGAAATTTGGAAACCAAAATGACACAGAAGGAAGGAGGCAGGGAGAATGACTCAAAGCTTCACCGCCTCCAAAGTAAGAAATATATCATGTTAGCATATTTCTGTTTAAATGTTTCTGAGGTGGTCCTTATTTTCACAGACTTTACAGCATTCCTCCTCCCTCCCCCAGTCTCCAAGTGCAGGGACAAGCCTGTGATCTGCAAGAACTCTTGATAAAACCAGAATACGCTGGAGCCAACATTTTTTAAACAAAATACAGTTTCATGAGTAAGTGAACAGCTACCGCAGAACTCCCTGGAGCTTGAGGCTGGTTGAATGCATTCAGTAATGCACCTTTATTTAGTTTCTTCTAAGACAGGGCAAAAGTGAAAGACACAGGGACCTTTCTTCCCTTCAGCAACCCCAGTCTAAAGAGAAGAGAATTCGCGAAAACAAATTACTTCATGAAGAATGGAATGAGTGTGATTACAGCTGTGCCAATGAAGGGCCACGGGAGTTTAGAGAAAGATTCATTTCTACCTTGGGGGATGGTGAGGAGAATGGAGAGAACTACGTGTGGTGATTGAGGGAAGGGGGACTTTGGAGCTGAACTTGGACTTAAGCTGGCAGGCTGCAGGGTGGAGCACAAATGAATTCCCTTACTTCTTAGAACATGTTTATCATAGTTGCTTTGAAGTCTTTGCCTACTAAGTCCGACAGTTGGGCCCTCTCACAGCCTGCTCTTTTCCCTGGGTATGGGTCACATCTTCCTGTTTATTTACAGGTCTCATAATTTTTGGTTGAAAACTGAACATTTTAGATAATGTATTACAGGCACTCTGTATACTGATTCCCACCCCCAGTGCCTGTTGCTGGCTTATGCATCTGTGTACCTGTTTCGTGACTTTGGCTAGACTGTTAGGTGAGGTCTATTCCCCAGCAGTGTGCTGTTGTCTGATGCTATTCTTTGTTCTGGGGGCTTTTTTGGGGGGGTGGGTAATTCAATTTATTTGTTTTTATTTTTTATTGAAGGTACTGGGGACTGAACCCAGGATCTCCTGCATGCTAGGCATGCGCTCCACCACTGAGCTATACCTTCCTCCTGCTCTGATGCCATTCTTCAGGGGAACAGCCTTGAACAGGCACAGGGTCCCCTGACCCTCTAAATAAATCTTAATATGATAAGCAAAGTAACATAAAGAAGCCTTTCACAACTCACAACACAGGAGGGTTTAAAAGTCAGGTGATAATAATAAAACTATAAACAAACATACAAGGAGGCATTCTTTTTTTTAACTAATTTTTACTTTCATTTGTGAAAATTATAAAATCTTTCTGTTATTGTAATTATAGTATATTTTAGATTCACATTCCTCAAACCCCCTCAAAGTTAAGACTAAAACAGAAGTGCACACATACATCGCTAGTCTCTGAGTAATTTACTCAGGTCACTATATAGCAATAAATATCTTTTTAAATTAGGACACCATCTCCTCCCTTTTATGGTTATTGTGACTTTGACATAAACCAGGTATACACTGGAAAACTCATTTGCTATTTTTTTTCATGATTTGATGAGGCTCTTGGAAAAATTTAATTGGAGCCTTTTGTTGCTTACTTGTGAAACATCTGGCAGGGAAAGAAAAGCCAAAGAAATACTTGGACGTGATCATCTTGAGAAAAGTAGGACAAAGTTCAGATATTGAGAAAGAGAAATGAGAGTTATCGTCTTAGAAGCAAGGAACTTCCAGGCAGCGGAAAATAAGTTTTCAAGTCCTCATTGGACAAGAAACATGGTAAGTCATCACTGTGTCTTAAAGAAAAAAAAATGGAACTGAATCACTCAGCTTGTGCAAGCATTTTTTTCTCTGAGCCTCAGTATCTTCATCAATAAAAACAGATTAAGGATAATTTTACTGATAACTCTCTAGGAAGCATTTCTGGTCTGTTAATGGAGATGGAGGGGGAAAGAGCTCTGCTGTGTGTGAGTCTGAGAAACGCTGGGTTAAACAGGTGTCCTCGGCGCAGCCCTTCTCAGAGCCTTGAATGTAATGGCTCTCACTATAAATCCACAGAAAGGTAACACGTACAGCGTCGCCCGAGCTAAGTTCACCATGGAATACATTTTTTAAGGCTCATCTTGTAAGAACAATTTTTTAAGAACTCTGATGCAGAGATTTTGTGAGGCTCCAATGACATAATATGAAAAACGGTTAGGATTTGGACATAGAGATCAAAGAATCAAGGTAAGCACTTGCCAGACAGAGGCAGTAGGATGCGGCCGGGCATGGAAGCAGAGAAGCTGGAGCTTCTGGGGGCCAGAAAGGAGCACGTGGCAATGCACACGAGTGGGGAGAAGATGGGGAGGGATCTGTGGGACCAAGGCCAGAGCTGTGGATTTTCCTCTTTAAGTCGAAGAAAGCATGACAGTTTCAAAAGAGGAAACTGCCAAAGGGCAGAGCTGAGCTTTGGAAGTTTGCTGGGGCTACAGGCTGTGGGCTTCAGGCAGAAGGGCCAGGTAGGGGCGGGGGCGGGAAGCCGGGTTAGGAGACAGCCTGGGGAGAGGTGATGGGTGTGCTTGAGTAGATGGGCAGAAATGAATGATAAAACAGCTCAAGTCAGGATGGTGAGCGCTTGGAAAATGACTGGGGGTGGGGGTGGGGATCAGGGGAATCCATCCTATTGTTCATCCAACAAGTGTCACCGAGCCCAAACCCTGTGCTCAGGGATGAACAAGGGAACCACGGGCCCTGCCTTCATGGAGGGTCAGGACGCAATTCTGAGCAAGTCCATACAGAGGTGAACATGGTGCCAAGCGGCCAGTGCGGGAAAGACTCCTCCAAAAGGATGCTGGCAAGTGTTTTCCCCCTAAATAACTGTCCTTTGACAAAGTAGGCAGGCTCCCGAAAGTTCTGATAGAACTGCATCATTGTTTTGTTCGTATCTTATCTATTCGCTCCTCTCCAAAGACCGGAGGGTGGTGTCCGCCGGGGAAAGGGTCTCCCCGTCTTTTTTGTTTCCATCTGTTTTCCCTTCTGGTCACATCAGACCCCTGGGGAACAGACCACCAACAATGCACTTGTAAATACAGCATCAGAGCTCAGTCTTCACCCCAGGGGCAAGCCTGTGGGACTAGGAGCTCTCTGTTCTTCCTTATTGCCCTTGGCGATCTTGTAGGAAATCAGGAGTCCCCGCTCCATCAAAGCTGCCCTCTTGGGTGATAGACTGGCATGTGCTCTGACGTCCTGATAGCAGAGGACACTTCCTTCTGTTTACAATCCTGACTTCTGAGGAGGGTGTGCTCTGTTTTACTCATCTCCCCAGTGGGTGTGGAAACTCTAAGGTGGCCCCAGGACAGGGTCTGGCAGCAGGAGCCAGGAAGAGCCAAACTGTCTGCCTAAGAGAGCAAGAAGAAAGCAAGTTTCCCAGTGCCCAGAGGAAGGGGTGACCAGCAGGACAGAAGCTCTCTGGGGAGGACTTTGGACTTTGCACAGGCATGGAGGTGGGACTGCCAGCCATCTCTTCTGGACCACAAAGAGCAAGGAGGATGTTTCGCTTCCAGGAGTGTCTTTCTCTTTTAAAATCACCAGAAGCTAATTTCAAACCTTTTTCCCCCTTTTAAAGTGAGGGAAGTGGGGGGAAGTTATAGTTCCATGGTAGAGAGCATGCTTAACATGCATGAGGTCCTGGGTTCAATCCCCAGTGCCTCCATTAAAATAAACAAACAAACAAACTTAATTACCCCCCAAAATAAATTAATTACATTTAAAAAAATAAAGTGAGGGAGCCCCCCTTTTCCAACAAAAGCAAGACCAAACTGAATTACATAAAACAGATGCAAATAGCGAGCCCCCAGACGTCCACCGTGCCCCACAGGGGGTCACTAAGCATCTGCAGAGCCTAGTTTGAAAAACCACTAATCTAGCTTGTCCCACACCTAATTTTACAGGTGATGAAATTGAGGCTTACAGAGTGGGACTCCACTCCGCAGTGCCTGGAGTTCTTGGGGAGGAAAATCAGGGGCTGGAATCGATGTCACTTACCTCGCAGCCCAGGGCTCTTTCTACTTCCCAGCCCTCACCAGTCCCCATCCGCGGGACCACTCATCTGTTGATCACTGATTCATTAATCTTGCCTTCCTGGTCAAAAGAAAG